AAGTAAGGGCTCCATGGGATATGCTATTCAGTAATGGTCCATCTCGTTTTCTCATGTCTTTCGCATTTGCCGAACTGCGCCACTTACGAAGTAGCTTTTTGGACTTCTCTTCTTCATCCTCCTCCTCTGAAGTAAGGGCTCCATGGGATATGCTATTCAGTAATGGTCCATCTCGTATTATAAAGTCTTTCGCATTTACCGACATGTACCACTTACGATGTAGCATTTCGGACTTCTTTTCTTCTTCCTTCTCCTCTGAAGTAAGGACTCCAAGGAATAAGCTTCTTCGTGACGTTTCAAAAAAAGTTTCCGCATTTCTTTTCATCTTTATCAATTTCCTCTTCTTCCTTAAGCTATTGAGCGTCGCTTACGAAGTGGGTTTTTCTCTGGAGTCACCTAAAGGAAAAACGTAAATTATATCGATGACAAACTGAGAACACCAAGGTCAAAAACGCACACTGGAACAACACCAACATGCTAATGAGTCAAACTCGTTTCCGTGGATACACGCTTCCGTCGGCCGTGGATAAGTTCAATTCAAAAGTTCAAATCGAAGTTAAAAGACAGTTTATTAGATTAGAATTAGAGAGTTAATTACATCCATTTTGAAATCACTGGTGAATTCTACCATCTGATTGGCTCCCAGCAGAGTGATTTAAAATTAAGTTTTAAGGTGGCTGCCTACCTTTGAACGTTCGAGTTTTAAAAAAAGTCTAATATTTTTAAAAAAAAGTAGGCATTCACCTTAATGTCTTATTATTGCAGGAGATTTTAAAATRGATATAATTAAGTGGTAATTGAACTTCGTGTCGTGCAATCATTCTTTGGTCTGAAATCAAACTTGTGATTAACAAATTGCACTCCCGCCACGCGGTCTTGCAATTTTGTAATCATCACTCGTTGGATTTCAGACCAAATTGCACTCCACTCAGTTCAATTACCATTACGAAACGTTAGACAAGAAGAAAAAGAGCAACAGAGAAGTGGCTAGTTATGCTTAGGAAGCGCATATTGAAATGAAGAATTTGTTTTTCAATTGATCATCAGTTTTGTAATGTTTAGGTTATTTGAATAGACCTTTTATTTTAATGCTTTTGTCGAACATGTTGTCTTGTTCTGAATCAGTTTTGACCTTTGCATGTCAAAACCTGTGATCAAGAACTCTTAAGTAAAACAAATAATTACATTTATCGATACATAAAGACATGGAAGTTCATTTCCCTCTAGTTTTTATCATTACCAGTAGAATAGATAACACAAGAGATAGAGACCACGATGCCGGTTGACTTAACAAATGTAAATAATGTAAGTAAATAAAATATTTTGCTGAATGAAAACATTAAGTCATAAGGGGGTTCAGTGAAACGTCTAACAGCCATACATTTTGCTTGGTAATATTCAACTTCTTTACAGTAAATTACGCCCTCTTGTTGCAAAAATTCCCAAAACTAAATGAAAGACAGATACATGCCAAATGTTTGATTGAAAGATTCAGTAATTTTCCACTGCCAGAAAATCAGGAAATCAGTATTTTTTCAAAGTCAGGAAGTCAGGAAATTCCGCGAGAAGTTCTGAAGAAATCCTTCTCAAAATTTCCTTAGACGTACGGCGAACATGAAATTACTGGTGTGAAGAACTCAATCTAACTTCTTTATTTCACTGATAATAAAACARCATGGCGTATCTCAACGCTGATCAAGACAACTCATTAATATGCCATGCGGTTGTGAAACCGCTGGCCACGCATACGTTCATGCTCAATCTATTACAACTGGGGGAGAAAAAAAATAACAAACAAACAAACAAAAAAAAAAAACATTTCTCCATCGAATCTGTGGCATCATTTCATTTCAATATGAGCTCCTTGCATTTAAGACGTTTGGGAAGGGTCCATTCGATAAACATGGCGGCTATAAAACGACATCAAGACAAGTAACATGACAAGAAATGTCAYTGAGCACAGACAACCGGTTTATAAGTACATAACTCATAAGATTCACATAAGATTCATAGCTATTACGATTACTCGACCCGTACGTGTATAGGGGTAAAATTCCCTTGATGCAATCATAGCCGTTAGCCGTCGCTCCTTCGAGTAGCAACTTACGGTAATGCTTCTAAAAGTTTGGAAGGGGTTTACAAATAATAATATTTGTTATATATTTTGGCAATTCATTCGTTTTTTAGAACTAGAAAAAGTACTTAGAAATTTCGAGAAATGTGTCTAAGGTATTTATATTTTAATATTTTTCTCCGACAACGCTCTAGTAAGAAATAAAATTTTTGGTGCCTACTATTTCGACCACAATAGCGTGACTTACCTTTAGTTATCGGAGTCTTCAAAGAGCAGTTTCAGCGTTATTATGAAACCCTTTGGAAAGAAGAAAACACCTCTGGGATCAGGGAACTGTACGTGCTAAATGTATTAGAGAAATAGAAGTAAGTAACAATAAACTTTTCGAGGCTTCAATTGTGTTTCTTCGGTATTGGCAAAACCTTTTTCAAGAATTTCACCTTACCGAGTCTCCGAAAGAACGGGAAGTTACTTGAGGTTAATCTCTTCAGTATTTCGAATCGATACAATTTCAGAATGAAATTTCAATTACTCTCACCTTTGTACAGTTTAACTTGAAGTAATACGTTTTAGCTGTATAATTAACAGGAGAAAAATCGAYAAGATGCTACCTACAAAACTAGAAACGACCGATCAGAAATAATGGCCACCGACAAGAATGCCACATCCCTCTGACGTCATCCATTKCCATGACAGAGTTCTGCACAGGGAGCCCGGCTTTAGAATTCGTACATGAATAAATAAGTCAATAAAGTACTTTGGGTTTCCTGTGTTGAGATTGGGTAACTTGATAGCAGATTAATGTAAGTAACTCGAGARCAGCTTATAATTCAAATTTAACGTACTAGTGTAACGCACGCGGCGTGTGTTACACTGATACGTTGCGTTAATCTGCTACCAAGTTACTGGTTAGTACGATTACCGGAAATTCAACGTATCAGCGTCTTGTTTCAAATCTCAACACAGGAAATCCAAAGCAYTTTATTKATTTATTTATTCATGTACAAATCCCAAAGCCGGGCTTCCTGTGAGTTCTGTATTGAATTTAGCATCTCGTAAACATAGCATTTGATTGCATTTCCGYTAAATGATATAGTTTTTCTAAAAGGGCCCTATTTTTGTATTTCCAAAGAAGATAATAATAATATACATAGGTATCAGTTTAGAAGCCAACTGTCAAGATTTAGACAAATTATACAGTGTTCGAAAAGAAGAGGACAAAGGTCCGCACAAGTATAAATGCATGCAAGTGAAAGACAAACACCGTCGGAAAAGCTCTCTTACCACATGGATAAATTTTTCGACCAATCACTGTTCCAAATGGCTGCTCTCATGCTGTGRATGTCTAGAAGGATCGATAGAATAGTTATTAAGGTCACTCAACCAAAACAACGAGTCTTTCATATTTCACAAGTAAAGCTCTATTTGGCACTAATATTTTACTGGTTTAGGTACATGTAAAAGCCCATGCAACAAACGATATATATCAAGGGAAATCATCATCATCTTCAGCCATTTCCTTAGCATATCCAAGCTCCAGTCTCATTGTTCCTGAGTCACAAAATTTCATCAACAGTAAGAATGCGTATTTTTTTCCCAGTTTGTTTCTTTAGCCACGGGCAGACATGCAAGGAAGACCTTTTCACCACCCATGCATTGCAAATTAAAGAAGGCAAGGTATTTTTTAATTTGGGAAAAGTTTGAGACAAGAGAGGATGAGTTACAGATGAGTTTCGCAGTTTTACACTAAGATCATCCTGTAGATCTCTAATTCTAGACTAAAAATAGTGTTGTATGCAATTGTGTTAAAATGAAACCCGCGGGTCAAAATCGAATAGATCCAGTTAGCGAATAACACGGGTCAAAATCGAATGGATCCAATTAGCGAATAACACGGGTCAAACTCGAATGGATCTAGTTGACGAATAACACGGGTCAAAATCGAATAGATCCAATTCGCGAATAACACGGGTCAAAATGGAATGGATCCACTTAGCGAATGACACGGGTTAAAATCGAATAGATGAACATAGCGAATAACACGGGTCAAAATCGAATGGATCTAGTTAGCGAATAAAACGGGTCAAAATCGAATAGATCCAATCAGTGAATAACACGGGTCAAAATCGAATGGATCCAATTATCGAATAACACGGGTCAAACTGAATGGTTGAGTATAGCGAATAACACGGTTCAAGATCGAATGGATCCAATTAGCGAATAACACGGATGAAAATCGAATGGTTGAGTATAGCGGATAAAACAGAAGAAAAGACATGCACAATTCAAGAGCTTGCCAATATTTTACAACCCGAGGCTGATCTAAGTCAGAGCATGGCCAACTCACAGGTCAAACCCGGATATAGCCTCTGGGCTGATCTAAGCAAGTTAGGGCACGGCTAATTCCCAGATTCAACTTTGACACAACCTCTGGGCTGATCAAAGTCGGGGTACGGCTAACTCACAGATCAAACCAAACAACCTCTGGGCTAATCCTAGTCAAGGCAAGGCACGGCTAACTCACAGATCGAATCTAGTGGATTTTGCATAGGGAAGAAAACGAGAGAATTTGGAGAAAAAACCTTTTTTATCACAAAACCTAACAAACTCTATATTCACATGTGAAGCTGAGCCTGCATGGATATTGGACCCAAAACCCAGGAGTGAGAAGCAATTGACACGACTGCTGTGCTATCCTTGATACCCTTTATTAGGATTAGTATTGAAAAAATGAGTTGGGTAGAAAGAGTTTGAGGTTCAATACCAAGAGGATATGCCAAACTTACAATTCTTCTTGAGGCAAGGAATGTATAATTTCTAGAACTTTTCAAGTAAAGATTTCTATATATGCAGGCAGTTTCTTTGGAGGTTGCGACTTGTATATGGAAAGGATGAGCTTTCTTGATTTTCTCCCTACTATTTCCCTCCCAATGCTCTCATCATGCCCAGAAGGACTGCTTACACATGCTATCTGATTAGAATAATCGTCCTTTTTTCACGAGGGTAGCACTTAATAGCCAATGGCTAACAAACCTGTGGCCCTCATTCCATGATCAAATTGGAATTTAGGAGTTGATTTTTGCGGAGGGAGGAAAACCGGAGAACCCGGAAAACCCT